ACCCTCGCGGCCTGTGGATTCATTCATTCGCATCACTGTGCACCTGTGTGCCAGGCAACATGGCGGAAGTGGCCCAGCCCTAGTTCATGGGTACGAACCCCAGTGGGAGTGACGTCCGGCTGGGAAGGTGAGCGAGGCCAGGGGCCGGGAGGGCTCCCAGCCTCGGCCAACAGGCAAGGTGTCCTGTGGACAGGCCTGGGCCTGCTGGGCTCGGCCACACCTCGCAGTGGGGAGGGCCACTGTGGCTGCAGCTTAGGTCAAGGCTGGGTATGGGAGGTGGAGCTCCGTGCTGGGATTGTGGGAGATGAGGAATTGAGGACAGTGTCCTCAGGGACTCCCAGGCCCTCCTGGGGTCAGAGCTCCTCAAGGGAACACCCCACCTTCTTGACTCTTGGGAGAGAGGAAGGGGGAGACAAAGGGACCAGAATGGAAGGAGGAAGAGGAGGAGGAATAGGAGGAAGAGGAGGAGGGGAAGGAGAGGGAGGAGGGCGAGGGGGAGGAGGGGATAAGGATTTTAAACAGATCCACTTTGTAACTGTAGCCCCTAGAGCAGCGGTTCTCAACCTGTGGGTCGCAACCCCTTTGGGGGTCGAACCACCCTTTCACACCCTTTCCTAAGACCATCGGAAAACACATATATAATTACATATTGTTTTTGTGACTAATCACTATGCTTTAATTATGTTCAATTTGTCACAATGAAAATACATCCTGCATATCAGATATTTACATTACGATTCATAACTGTAGCAAAATTAGTTATGAACTAGCAACAAAAATAATGTTATGGTTGGGGGTCACCACAACATGAGGAACTGTTTTAAAGGGTTGCAGCATTAGGAAGGTTGAAAACCACTGCTCTAGAGCCTTGAACACCGTAGCAGGCCCTGCATCTCTGAGAAGAGGAAGGGAAAGCAGTTTCCCAAGCATATTTGCCCATAACGCTGTCTTCTCAAGAAAAGCGATCCAGGTCTGGGGAGCCCAGCAGCCTGGGGTACCACCTTGGAAACACTGGGCCAGGCATTGGCCTCCTGTTGTGACAGATCCACGGGCGATCAAAGCTGGACCCGCCGTTAGAGATAACCTGGGCTGCTCCTCATTTACAGATGGGAGTGCGGCCTAGAGAGGGAAGAAGGCAGCCCAGGCTGCACAGGGCCTCCGAGCCCAGCTGGACTTGGCCCCAGCCCGTGGGCTCCAGCTGCCGTTCAGCCGGGAGGGCCTCGGCTGTGCCAGGGTCCTGGGCTTTCACGCAGGTACCTCCCTTCGAACTCAGCTCCAGGCCAGGCTCTGGCCTCCATCAGCCCCACCCCGGCCCCTGGCCCAGAGCTCTGCACGGACGGACGGTACGTTCACAAAAGTTCGCCACCGCTTGAGCCATCCAGGGGAGACGCCAGGAAGACTTCCCAGCAGCTGGGTCTGGGTGACAGGAACCAGCAGTGCCCTTCTCCGAGGGCTTCTAAGAAGAGGGCAGAGGCCCCCGCCCCAGGCAGCTCTGGGCACCAGCCCCAGCTCCCTTGTTCCTGGAAAGGGCGGGGCTGGGAGGGGAAGGAAGACTCAGGCCCCAGGAGCTGCCTTCGTGGCCCAGGTCCAGGACCCTCAGCTTGGACCAGAAACAGGGACAGGCGAGAGCCCCTGTTGGGACAGGCCCTAGAATGCTGTCCTCCCTGAGCTCTCCACCCTCCACCTCCAGGAAGCCACGCCTGCCTGCTCCAGCCTCTCTGATCTTTTCATCCTGGGAGCTCGGACAGTAACTCAGCTCAGGGAAGACTCCCTGAGGGCATGCTGGGCCCGGAGGGGCTGAGACCCAGAGGAAGGCATGGCCCTGCCCTCAGGGCGCCCACCAAGTGGAGACCCACCTCACCCCCGTGGGAAGGTGATACAGGAAGAGAATTCCAGCCCTGGCCGGTTTGGCTCAGGGGATAGAGCGTCAGCCTGCGGACTGAAGGTCCTGGTTTCAATTCCGGTCAAGGGCACAGGCCAGGGTTGAAGACTTGATCCCCAGTGAGGGGTGTGCAGGAGGCAGCCAATCAATGATTCTCTCCCATTATTGATGTTTCTCTCCCTCTCCCTTCCTCTCTGAAATCAATAAAAATATGTATATATTTTAAAGAATTCCAACCACGGTGTCCAGGAGTGCATCTCTGAAGGGAGGGCCTCTGAGCTGGGCTGAAAGCAGTGACCTGGAGGAAGCGGTGGGCAGAGTAGGTGGGAAGGCCTGGGGACGGGGAGGAGGAGAAGACGGGCCCTCCGTCCAGTGGTTGTGGAGCTCAGTGGTCAGAGCCTGGGAGGTACCGCGGGTGCAGGTCCCCACCCTCCCATCATGAGCTGGGTGAGCTCAGGCCTGTCCTGAACCTCTCTGTGCCTCAGTTTCCCTCCTAGAAGGAATCTAATAGCAGCACCTACTCATAGGATTGTTGAGAAGACGGAATGAGTCAGTGACAGGAGTGCTCAGAGCTGGGCCTGTCCACGGGAAGGCCTAGAAGTAAGGGGTGCAGGCCAGGAGGCCCACCCACAAGGAACGTGTCGCACCCCACCCAGGTCTGATGTTGGGAGCAACAGGCAGATGAGAAACTCCGAAGGCAGGGCCAGGTGGCTGCTCAGTAAACATGTGTGCACGCAAAGTATCTCCGCCCCTCTCAGGACTAAACTGCTTTTTCTAGCAAACAGGTGTTGAATACTTAATGCACCAAGCACTAAACTAGGAGCATATGTGTGCGTTCTTATTTAGGTCTCCCACGTGTATAATATATAACGTACAAAATACCAGCATTCCACACGCGCAAAAGCCTCACAGCATAACCTGCCCGAGGCCCTATGCACACCCACAGCAGCGTTTCCTCATCCAGGCCCAGCACTTCCTGCACCCAAACCAAGAAGGACACGGCCATGCCCTGACTAGTTTGGCTCAGTGGATAGAGTGTCAGCCTGCAGACTGAAGGGTCCCAGGTTCAATTCTGGTCATGGGCACCAGAGGGGGTGGGGGTGGCCTAGGAAACATCAGGAGCCCCCCATGTCCCACACACTCACCCGGACTAAGTGTGTCCTGGTCCCTGCTGTAGCCTGACCCCTGGGTCCTCAGTCCTCCCCTCCCCAGCGCACAGCCTCCCTGCCACACCCCAGCCCTGGGTAACTGCACGTGGAGCCTCCAGCCCTGGGGTCCAGAGCCCTTCCCCTCCCCTGTCCCTGGCGATTTGGGGTCCTCAGGGCTCAGAGAGCCAAGTGAGGTGAGCAAGACCCCATGGGAGCTTCGCGAAGTAACCAGGCCTGGACCCCGTCCTCAGTCCGTCAGAATTCACCTGTTTGCCATGGGATTCAGGTTTCAGGATTTTTAAAAAACTCCACCTGATTCTAAAGTGCAACTAGCATTAGGGCCAGTGCCCGAGGCAGCTACGCAGAAGTTGGTCACAAACACGAAACCTCAGGCCCCACCTGGACCCAAAGAATGGGAGCCAGCGACACACCATTACATGGAGAGGCGCTGCCGCGGCCAACCCTGTCCCACAGCCAGAGTGGGGGTGAGAGTCCCTCGGGGCCAGAGGGGCTGGTGCGCCTTTGAGGTGCTGGGAGGGGCACAGGCCTGCGGGAACCAGGGAGAGGACAGCCTGGGCCCCAGGTCTCACCCACATGTGCCTGAGATGGGAGAGCGCTCTCCCCATGCCCCCATCTGGTCCTCAGCCCTGGCCTCTGAAGGGCTGGGAAGAGTGTCAGCCCACCTGGGAAACAGGCAGGAGCAGAGACACGAGTGACCAGCACCCCCCACCCCTGCACAGCCCCTGGCTCTGCGAACAGATTTCCCGTTTCCTCTGTGTCCGGGGAGGCAGGATGGCAGGAGGGTGATCAGTGCCCCAGGTGGCAGAGGAGGGTCCAGGCCCAGAGCAGGGGAGGAGGACGAGGGCGGAGCCTTCCACAGCATGACCAGGGCCCTGGGAAGAGGGCTCAGGGAGCTAAGGGGTTAAGGGTCACTGCTGACCGAGCAGCTCTGCCAGGTGGGGCCATCAGTGGCTTGACCTTTGATGGACAGAACGCCATTCCTTCCCCTCCTCTCAGGGGCTGACTGGGTGCGTCTGGGACCAGGATCAGTAGCACCCAGGCTGGGCTCCAGGCGAATACTGCCGCCCCTGAAAGGCCTCTCCACCAGGAAGGGACGCCTGAGTCCCCACCTCTCTGCTGGGGAGAGAGGGCCGGCCAGAGCCCACCTCTCCCCACCGCTCCCCCAAGACGGCCAGAGTAGACAGGGTGCTGAGGGGAGGGTCGTGGCCAGCATCCTTGGGGAAGGGTCAGGAATGAGGGAGAAAGGAGCAGAAGGTGGTACTGGCCTACCTGGTGATTCTGCCAAGGGCAGAGGCCCGGGGTCTTAATCCAGGACCCTGCCCCCCTCTCCAAACCCCCTGCTCTCCATGGGCCTTTCCCTCCCCTGCTGGAGAAAGCTGGGTCCCCGGGGCCTGGGGTGGGAAGGAGGGGATCACAGTTGCCAGCATGGTGGGTGGATGGAGGAAAATGTTCACAGCAGGGGGTCCCCACCCCCACAGCCCTGGGCATCTGACAGCCCCTCCCCCCACCCCCTCTCCAGGCCCTCTGCCTCAGCCAGCACCTCTAGCAGAAAGCAGAGCACCGAGGACTCAGGAGGAGAGGGAGAGACAGGAGGAAG